GGGTTTGGGCTCAACCTTGGGTTTCTTCACTAGAGCAGCAGCTAAATTGCCGTTTCATGAAGTATCCCTTCGTGCCCTTGCCCTTCTTGAAACTAGTGGTTTCACCAACCATCAACAATTGATGCTCCTTCTTGATTTCTACTTTTGTGGTGTCAAACATCGCGAATATCTCAAGGATCATCATATATGTCCCTGATATATTATAGTTCATCACGAAGCTCTAGCAGCTTGGTGCTAATGACTTCGGAGAACCATCACTATTTCATCTGGAAGATCAACTCCCACTTGATTCAAGCGATTGTTGTACTCAGACAATCTGAGCACAAGCACAACAATTGAGCTTTTCTCCTTAGTTTGTAGGCTAAGAAAATCATCGGAGGTCTTATACCTCTTGACGTAGGCACGAGCCTGAAATTCCTATTTCAGCCCTCAAAACATCTCATATGTTTCGTGATGTTTCAAAACCGTCTTCGGTGCCTCAACTCTAAACCGTTTAACTGAACTATCATGTAGTTATCAAAACGTGTATGTCAGATGTTTGCAACATCCACAGACAACGTTCGAGGTTCAGCACACTGAGCGGTGCATTAAGGACATAAGCCTTCTATGAAGCAATGAGGACAAACCTCAGTTTACGGACCTAGTCCGCATAATTACTACTATCATCTTTCAACTAAATTTTCTCTAGGAACATATCTAAATAGTAGAACTGAAGCGCGAGCTACGACATAATTTGCGAAGACCTTTTGACTATGTTCAGGATAATTAAGTTCATCTTATGAACTCCCACTCAGATAGACATCCCTCTAGTCATCTAAGTGATTACATGATCCGAGTCAACTAGGCCGTGTCCGATCATCACGTGAGACAGACTAGTCAACACCGGTGAACATCTTCATGTTGATCGTATCTACCATACGACTCATGCTCGACCTTTCGGTCTTCTGTGTTCCGAGGCCATGTCTGTACACATGCTAGGCTCGTCAAGTCAATCTAAGTGTTTTGCGTGTGTAAATCTGTCTTACACCCGTTGTATGTGAACGTAAGAATCTAACACCCGATCATCACGTGGTGCTTCGAAACTACGAACTGTCGCAACGGTGCACAGTTAGGGGGAACACTTTCTTGAAATTTTATGAGGGATCATCTTATTTACTACCGTCGTTCTAAGCAAATAAGATGTATAAACATGATAAACATCACATGCAATCAAATAATAGTGACATGATATGGCCAATATCATATAGCTCCTTTGATCTCCATCTTGGGGCTCCATGATCATCTTGTCACCGGCATGACACCATGATCTCCATCATCATGATCTCCATCATCGTGTCTCCATGAAGTTGTCACGTCATCTATTACTTCTACTACTACAGCTAACGGTTAGCAATAAAGTAAAGTAATTACATGACGTTTATATTGACACGCATGTCATAAATAAATTAAGACAACTTCTATGGCTCCTGCCGGTTGTCATACTCATCGACATGCAAGTCGTGATTCCTATTACAAGAACATGATCAATCTCATACATCACATATATCATTCATCACATCCTTCTGGCCATATCACATCACATAGCATACCCTGCAAAAACAAGTTAGACGTCCTCTAATTGTTGTTTGCATGTTTTACGTGGCTGCTATGGGTTTCTAGCAAGAACGTTTCTTACCTACGCAAAAACCACAACGTGATATGCCAGTTGCTATTTACCCTTCATAAGGACCCTTTTCATCGAATCCGATCCGACTAAAGTGGGAGAGACAGACACCCGCTAGCCACCTGATGCAACTAGTGCATGTCAGTCGGTGGAACCAGTCTCACGTAAGAGTACGTGTAAGGTCGGTCCGGGCCGCTTCATCCCATGATGCCGCCGAATCAAGATAAGACTAGTAACGGCAAGCATATTGAACAAAATCAACGCCCACAACTACTTTGTGTTCTACTCGTGCATAGAAACTACACATAGACCTAGCTCATGATGCCACTGTTGGGGAACGTAGCAGAAATTCAAAATTTTCCTACGTGTCACCAAGATCTATCTATGGAGTCATCTAGCAACGAGGGAGGAGTGGATCTACATACCCTTGTAGATCGCTAAGCGGAAGCGTTCAAGAGAACGGGGTTGATGGAGTCGTACTTGTCGTGATCCAAATCACCGATGATCCTAGCGCCGAACGGACGGCACCTCCGCGTTCAACACACGTACGGAACGGAGACGTCTCCCACGCCTTGATCCAGCAAGGAGGAGGGAGAGGTTGATGGAGATCCAGTAGCACGACGGCGTGGTGGAAGTAGCGGGATTCCAACAGGGCTTCGCCAAGCGCTGCGGGAGGAGGAAGATGTGTCATGGGAGGGAGAGGGAGGCGCCAGGCCTTTGGTATGGTTGCCCTCCCTTCCCCCCACTATATATAGGGCCAAGGGAGAGGGGGAGGGTGCATCCTTGCCCCTTCCTCCAAGGAAGGGTTCGGCCAAGGGGGGGAGGAGTCCATCCTCCCCAAGGCACCTCGGAGGTGCCTTCCCCCTTTAGGACTCTCCCTTTTCCTCTACTCTTGGCGCATGGGCCTCTTGGGGCTGGTGCCCTTGGCCCATATAGGCCAAGGCGCACCCCCTACAGCCCATGTGGCCCCTGGGGCAGGTGGCCCCACCCGGTGGACCCCCGGGACCCTTCCGGTGGTCCCGGTACAATACCGGTGACCCCGAAACTTGTCCCAATGGCCGAAACAGCACTTCCTATATATAAATCTTTACCTCCGGACCATTTCGGAACTCCTCGTGATGTTCGGGATCTCATCCGAGACTCCGAACAACTTTCGGGTTACCGCATACTAATATCTCTATAACCCTAGCGTCACCGAACCTTAAGTGTGTAGACCCTACGGGTTCGGGAGACATGCAGACATGACCGAGATGACTCTCCGGTCAATAACCAACAGCGGGATCTGGATACCCATATTGGCTCCCACATGTTCCACGATGATCTTATCGGATGAACCACGATGTCAAGGACTTAATCAATCCCGTATACAATTCTCTTTGTCTAGCGGTATTGTACTTGCCCGAGATTCGATCGTCGGTATCCCGATACCTTGTTCAATCTCGTTACCGGCAAGTCTCTTTACTCGTTCCATAACACATCATCCCGTGATCAACTCCTTGATCACATTGTGCACATTATGATGATGTCCTACCGAGTGGGCCCAGAGATACCTCTCCGTCACACGGAGTGACAAATCCCAGTCTCGATTCGTGCCAACCCAACAGACACTTTCGGAGATACCTGTAGTGTACCTTTATAGCCACCCAGTTACGTTGTGACGTTTGGCACACCCAAAGCATTCCTACGGTATCCGGGAGTTGCACAATCTCATGGTCTAAGGAAATGATACTTGACATTAGAAAAGCTTTAGCATACGAACTACACGATCTAGTGCTATGCTTAGGATTGGGTCTTGTCCATCACATCATTCTCCCAATGATGTGATCCCGTTATCAACGACATCCAATGTCCATGGTCAGGAAACCGTAACCATCTATTGATCAACGAGCTAGTCAACTAGAGGCTTACTAGGGACATGGTGTTGTCTATGTATCCACACATGTATCTGAATTTCCTATCAATACAATTCTAGCATGGATAATAAACGATTATCATGAACAAGGAAATATAATAATAACTAATTTATTATTGCCTCTAGGGCATATTTCCAACAGCTCAACCACGAAGCGCTCTTCAGTCATCCTGTAATCATAGAATTGCTCCATGATGTACAGCTCAGTGCCAGCATCCGAGACCCCAAACTTGGTCTCGAGTGCACCCCACATATCCTTTCCATTGTCAGTTGACGCATATGCATCAACTATGTTCTCACCAAGAACACTCAAGAGAGCAACCTTAAACAGAGTATCCATTTTCTGAAAAGCTTGTTCCTGTTGGGCATCATGCTCCCACTTTAGGTTTGCCAAGAGTGGCGTCATAGCAAGTCATGGTTTGAAACCATAAGACTGCTCTCACGCGCCACCTCTTAATACCCTCAAACATAGAAGGTCTCATGGAAGCAGCAAAACCACTTGGTGTAAATTGCCTATAATAAGGTTTTTGGATTGTTGGAAATATGAAGATCGTAGAGAGGAGCGACCTCCCTTTTATAGGTGCAAGAGAAGGAGGCAGGCAGCAGGCGAAGAGGTGCGCCGTTTGTATTCAATCTCCACTACAGCAAGACATCGACTCAGCTCATTCCCGCAACCCGCGTCGTGGCGAGGCGTGGTGGGCGGCGGAGGAGGAGCGCGCGTGGATGTCTCTCTTGTTCTCATCCTCATACATGTGAAGAAAGAGCCTCCCTTATAAAGAGGTCCAACTCCCTCTAAACTAGCAATGTGGGACTAAACTTTAGTTCCACTTCTTGTCTTGCACGAATAGGCTGCGTGGGCCTCTAGGATTTGTTAGGAATTTCTGAAACTGCTATTGAGCTAGGCTCAAAATAGACAAAATTCCAGCACCTTGTTTGTTCTTTGTGTTGGAGGGTGACGAACCCCGAAACCCTAGGGACAATTAGGTTGACCTGGGGCAGCCATATTCACTACACGCCCTGATGGGGTCCCTTTTGGACGTATGGAGCTTCGGGTCTCCAAATGACCTTGTCGTCGTGTTTTGTGTATCGTGCTTCTGGTGAGACTCCTTCGGTTATGTGTCATGCGTACAATGCCAGTGGTACACAGTGACATGTTCATGAGCAAACAACGAGGTATGGGGCAACCCCTTTATTAAAAAAACATGTAATCGGCTACACCAAGTAAACGTGTTCAGCCCGTTTAGCGGGTTATTAAATTGTGACAAGATAACATTTGGAACCCCAATCAGAAGCCCATACGAGAGGATACGGTACGTCCACACATCAAGTATTCATAATCTGAACACAACAAAGAATTGCCGTAGCAAACAACCTGGCAATGTTCATACCTAGCACTACTAGCAGCAAGGGTCACTACAAAAGCGGATGCGCACACAGCAATTCCGAAAACAAGGGCCAAACACACCAGGAATCAGAGCTCTAGCCACCGCCGCGGTCTTCCTGCTGGTCACGCTCTCCACGTCGCACATTGCCTCCTCCCTTCGCCCAGGCCTCGGGGTCTGCCGTGCCAGCGGCTATCTCCCAGGCAGGTCCGGCAACTGCGAGAAGAGCAATGACCCGGATTGTTGCGAAGACGGTAAGAGGTACTCGCAGTACCACTGCTTGCCGCCGGTCACGGCGACCACCAAGGCCGTCCTGACGCTCAACAGCTTCGAGAAGGGCAAGGATGGCGGTGGCCCGTCAGAGTGCGACAACTCCTACCACAGCGACAAGGAACTGGTCGTTGCGCTCTCCACCGGCTGGTTCAAGAACATGGCACGTTGCGGCCATCGCATCAAGATCACCGCTAACGACAAGTCCGTGTATGCCAAGGTGGTGGACGAGTGCGACTCCGTGTATGGCTGTGACGCCGACCACAACTACGAGCCTCCGTGCGATAATAACATCGTTGATGCCTCACCGGCGGTGTGGAATGCCCTGGGGCTCGACCAGAACGTCGGCATGGATGAGATCACCTGGTCAGAGGAGTAAACAGCAGAACTGCGTAGCAGGCATACGAGAGAAGTGAGTGATATATATCATGTACAGAGTTAAAATAGGAATATGCATTGTCCCTGTAAATATGATATTTGTAATTTGTGCTCAATATGTTAGAGCTACTTCTATGGAGTAATTTGTGATGCACAGACAACCCCCAAACTTGCAATGCCAATCCCGGGAGCCAAATCATCCAGAAACACACACTTGGATGCGGTTTTTCTCAATTCTCCAGTGTCCAGGAAATCTGAGACGGTCAAACAATCAAACCATATTTCCAGTATAATTGATCAAACCAGGACAAACATGCTGACTTTTTTGGGCCAAAATGTTCAGTTATACACTCGGTTCTCCATTTATTTTATGCTCCATCTGTTAGTCTCTGTTTTAAATATTAAGCCTTTTCAAGTCTCCTTTTAACAGTGAAACAACACAAACTTACAGAAACCATACGATGCCAGTTTCAACCAGCAGAATGATTTCCTCGCAATTCATCAACTACCATTCTATTCGAAATATAATTATATTAATCACTAAAGCTACTACCGAGTAATAATGTAATTCACATTACAAACACAGGAAAAAAAATGTGACGACGATGGAATAATTACACATCAATTTTCTTGTCAAGCTCAGAAACTAACCTTGGAGTTGACAAACCAAGAAAAGGGACAGTATGTTACATGCCTAGTTAAACCAGTGGTATAGTGTGGTGAACACACGGTAGCATAGTAATTGCTGAAATGTTTTGCCCAGAGCTCTATATGATAGCACGCCAAATATGTGCAGCCAATCATCAAGAACTTGGCGCCCATGAAATTGCATAGCAATTGCTGATTTCTGAGCTCTATATAGAGTACCCACCCATACACTTGAGCATCAAGCAATAGTTCAATCGAAAGCTCACAAGCTTAAGGTGGCAAATAGCATGACTAACCCGAAGCTACTAGCTGTGCTTGTGCTCTTGCAGGTAATCACTCTCCATATCCATGGTGTCGCATCGTCCACAGCCAACAAACGCGTGCCAAAGCCCAGTGGTGGCCGCTGCCATATCAGCGGCTTCCTCTACGGCAAGGCTGGCAAGTGCAACAAGGAGAATGGCTCCGACTGCTGTATTCCCCGCCACCGCTACCCGCAGTTCAGGTGTTCGCCCCCAGTGTCCTCCAAGACAGTGGCAACCTTGACGCTGAACAGCTTTGCCCGCGGGGGTGACGGTGGTGGGCCGTCCTTCTGTGACGATCGCTACCACAAGGACAGCGAGCTGGTGGTGGCGCTGTCTACTGGGTGGCTGCGCCTCGACGGCACACGTCGGTGCAACAAGATGATCCGCATCAGCGGGAACAGGCGGTCCGTGCTGGCCAAGGTCGTCGACGAGTGTGACTCGGTGCATGGCTGTGACAAGGAACACAACTTTGAGCCACCATGTGCAAACAACATCGTGGACGGGTCGCCAACGGTATGGAAGGCGCTGGGGCTCAACAAGAACATCGGAGAATTTAAGATCACTTGGTCTGATGTGTGAGCTCTGAGCTGCACCATGGCAATGTCGTGCTATTCTATACTTAGAGGCATACACAAGGGAACTGTGTGCTCCTCAATTATATAAACCATATGGTGTGTGTGTGTGTGTGTGTGTGTGTGTGTGTGTGTGTGTGTGTGTGTGTGATGATAATCTTGTTGATGGAGCAAATAAGCCGTATTTGCTATCCCAAGAAAAGTGTGTGCTTGTTAATTTCCAAAACTATGTGTGCTACTGTATTAGCAATAAATTACTACTTGAAATAATGCACCAGTATTTTGCATGTTAAGAAGTTGGTGATGCACCAGTATTTTGTATGTTACCAAGTTAATAATGACTCTGGTTTTGTGCGGTGAAAGCTCATTTAGGTTTCAGATGTTTGAACAGTTCAGCCATTTGAAAAAAAAAATCAAAGAGAACAAGACAATGCTGGCAAATTTCAGGTGTTATAGAAATTTTATGTTATAACAATAGAAGATACTGTAGAAGTACCTTAAGAGATACTCCCTCTGTTCCTAACTATAAGACCTCTTAAAGATTATTTGGGCGCTACACTTATATATACCAGTACCACAGTACCAGTTAGTCTACTCACAGTCTAATAGGTTGACATTACTTGTTATTGGCCCATCGAGCAGGTCAATCAACCATACAACTATTTGGCCTGGCATCGGAAGTCACAACTCATTTGAAACCCTATGAACACATCAAGGCCATCTACTTAATCTGAACACCGCAACGAATTGCACGGAAACAACAATCAAATAAAGTCATAACTCATAACACTACCGTTCGAAAAATAATGTCATAACACTAGTCCAGTCAGTAGGTACTAAGAATAGGTGGTTTCCCGATAGGCTTAATTTCTTTTTCTTTCAAATGGAACTCCAAGAATGTTATTTCAAATCTCAAAATAAAGTCTTTTCCCACAGCAAATTCCGGGGTTTTTCAGAGCAAAGGTGGCCCTCTCATAGTCTGGGTTTTATTAGAAAGGGAAAAGTATATTTTTTGCCCCTAAACTCTCTCGAAAATATAGAAATGGTCCCTCAACTCTGAAACCAGCAAAACTCAGTCCCTCAACTTGCCAAATCGGATTAGTTTAGTCCCTCTGCTCATTTGAAGTGGTTTTTGAGTTGGCGTGGCCTGGTTTTGACCTCTCTTCGTCCACGTGGCAATATTTACTCCTTCATTTCCTCTTATCATTGTTGTAGCCATTTTGTCGAGCACATGGTATGCGGTGTCAGCCGCTCCTGGCGGCATGCCTCCGTCCTGAGGTTGAGCGATTCAGAGCTTGTGGCGGCGGCGAGCAGAAGGCAGTGACGAGGGATCGTCGGGTGGCAGCGGCATCGGAGTCGAACTCGTCCGCACCTCGTGGCGCCCATACCGGAGCCAGGTGGTGAGCATGAGCACGTCGCAGCGGCGGGCCGAGCTCGGCCGCCACAGAGCATCCAACGTCATCGGAGCTCGGCCGAGGACGACGAGCAAGAGCAGCACCTGCTATCGTGGTTCGCAGCGGCGACGAGCTCGGCAAGATGTTCGGCCCGCCGGACGCGAAGCGGAGGTTCCCGCTGGATGTTGTGGTCAGTTTCATGCCGGCCGAGAAAGAAACGACGTCTTCCGCTCTCACCTGGTTCTTCTGGCTCCTGGCCGCCAACCTGCGCTGCGAGGAGGTCACGCGCCTGCCGCACCCCGCACGGAGGCGTCAATGACGACGGGTACGAGGAGCTGAAGGGGATGCACCATCGCAGGCCAGGCCAAGGTAACCTGCTCGGCATGCCATGTTGCACGAGGCAGTTTCCATGAACCCCCTGGCCGTGTTGTACGAGGCAGTTTCCATGAACTCCTCAGCATGGGCACTTGGGCAGCGCCATGCTCCTCATCTTACATAAGGACGCCCAGGTCAAACCCTGGCACATCCACTCATCTTAACCTCGCCGCCCGACACTCCCACCGGGACAACCACCGTTCCTCTCCCGCGGCAGCGGCAGCTGCGACATGGGCTCGGTGCTCTGCACGGGCAGCTGCTTCTACTCGCTGTGGCTCATCCTGCAGGCTGTGGCCACCGGCGCCGGGCGCTCCTTGCTAGCCCTCCTACAGTAGCGCCCTGAACTGGCAAGCTGCGCTCCGTGGCGAGTTCAAGGACAGTTACACGGCGGTCAAACTTGTATGACGTGTCAAGTTTTAGTCAAAACCAGCTTCATGTCAGCAGGAAACCACAAAAAGCGGTATTAGAGACTAAACTAATCCGATTTGATAAGTTGAGGGACTAAATTTTGCTGGTTTCAAAGTTGGAGGATCATTTCTATACTTTCGATAGAGTTTGAGGACGAAAAATATATTTTTCCCTATTAGAAAGCCAAATAGCAAAGCAAAATACAAAGAGTTCAGTCTATTCCGGTTTATAAAAAAAAAAATTGGGATTGAGGAACCAAGAAAAGGGACATCACGTTAGATGCAAAGTTAAACCATCGGGTTAACCATGCCTAGAAAAATCAAGTGGCATAGGAATTGCTGAAAAAGGCTTTCCTAGAGCTCTACATGTGGCCATGTCAAATGTGCGCAGCGAATCGGCAAACTTGTAGCCTATGAAAGAAATACCATACCACATCCAGTACTACTTGCAGCCCTTAACTCAAACCGAATTAGCATTATGCTTAGCAACAGTACCGACGCAACTTGTTATGCTGCAAAAATGATAAGCAACTCAGTGCACATGAGTACGACTGTGCGATGTAGACCATAAACTGTACTGTCGTTCATGCCCAGTACCATGCGGAGGAGTAATTGAACACCTATCTGTCCTATCACATGAATAAATCTAGCTTTGGAGGGGATCGAACGCAGGCACACACAAAATGCGTACTCACCGAGGGCAGGCGCGCTGCAGGGAAGCACCGGTGATGCCATAGAGGCATCTTGGTTCTCCGGCTTCGCTGCCCCGGCCGCGAGGGGAGGAGCCGCCAAGATCGGTCGTGGGCGGCCGTGTGCTGTGGTGTGCCCTCCTGGAAATTGGAAAATGAGAGACGACGAGTGGAGAAGACAGAGTATTTTTTTTAGAGTTAATTGCGCTTTTGGTACATAAACTTGCACGTTATGTACAAATTCATATATAAACTTGAAAAATGATACAAATCGATCTAACAACTTGTGTTTCGGGTACATTTACCTACATTTTCGTCAATGGCCGTTAGTCGTCCATTAAACTGTGCA